CCACGGGCACGGCCACAGGCACGGCCAAGGTTACAGTCACGGGCACGGCCGCGGGCACGGTCACGGCCATGGTCATGGCCACAGACACCGTCACGGTCACAGGCACCGGCCATGGTAGCGACCCACGGCCACAGACCACGAAAAAGCCACGGCAGCCGCAATCCAGGGCTCCACACAAAACCAGGACGGCCCTGCCCAGTTCAGGCCATCCCCACAGGGAACCCTCCCTGTCCCCTCCTGGGGCATCCCGGGGACCACCCGCTCTCGCTCCCTCCCAGACATCCCGAATAAAGAGCTTCACCGACCCCCTCAGCCGCAATTCCCGAGCCCAAGTTAGCTGTCACTATTTTCTTCCAACGAGATCTGGCAGCAACCCAACAGAGGGAAGAAACAAACCTGCTATAATTAATGTTCTTGCTGTTCAAATATTTATATAAAGCAAGATAGAGCCGTATGCCTCTGCAATCTTTTGGATCTGTCCAACCTTCTCAGCTTTGCAGCCGGGAACAACTTTAATTGATTACACAGTGCTGCTGATGGCTCAGGCCGGATCCCCTTCCCCGTGCCCGGCTCCACACAGAGCACCCCTGCCTTAGGGAACCTTACACTGACCCCACAACGCAAACAGAAGGGATCAAGGACTATCCTCTTGATGGAAGAAGGATTTGTGGATGTTTTTCCCCAGGCATGGGTTTGGGTACAAATGGAATTAGGAGATTCGCTGTCTTACATCGTAAGTGGCACCAGTTCAGGCAAGTCCTGGGGAACTGAAGCCTGGACCAGGTAACCCCCTCGCTCCTCCCCGGGGCTGAAATAATTCAAAATTGAGATGCTGCAAGAAGTTACAGGAGATTTTAAAGCCTATGACCAATTCCCTGGTTCCAATATAATCACTTCTGCTACAACAGCAATGAATTCCCAATCTCTTGATGACTCCAGAGCTCCTGCCAGTTCACACTAATTTCAACTCATTTCCCTCATAATTTTGTCTCCTGTTTTTGCTGCAGAGGTCAGAACGGCTCTCAGCCCTTCAGGTGAGCTGCCAAAACAAGATGATGCAATGCCTGCACTGCTCCCACCCGCTCCCAGAGCAGCTCATTTACTGATGAGCTCCTGGGAAGCGGCTTAACAACAGGATGTGCAACACATCCGTAAAAATTGCATCAACTGCGACGCCAGAGGAGTTTTTCCCTGTGCTGTGAGCCTTGCCTGGGCTGTCTGTGATCGATCTGCCATATGAATTCATGTCTGCTGAAGAACATGAGAACTCACCATCATCCAGCTCCATTATGACAGTGTTTTGTTATTTTTATTACTGGCTGCTAAAACGATCGATGTCTCATGAAAGATGTTTCCTTCCTGCATTGATTCCACCTTCACCACGTCGCTTCTGCTTGTCCTTTCCAGCCTGAGCTGTGGGAGCACTGCTGGCTTCTGTCCCAGCACCTGTGGGGCCGCTCATGGAGCTCCAGCCTCTGGCCAGATGTTGTCCCAAGCTCCACTCACACAATTCCAACACTGAGGCTCCTCAGTCCAAATTTCGACTGTATTGGCCAACATCCCAGGGTGAAATGAGTGAAGGAACCAATGCCACCATTTGTATCTCCTCTTTGGTTGTTTTTTGGTTTGCTGTGGTGCTTGTCAGGTATCAGCAATTGCAGTTGAGGAGTGAAAAGCCTCCAGCAGCCTGAGCAGCCATGAAAGCTCCTGTAATCCAGGGATGACTCTGGCACAGCACAAACCCCACCCCAAACCAAACCCCACTGACAGAGCACTAAGCGCTTCCACAACCGACTGTATAGATCTGATGTCATGGTCTGTTCAATAACTCCAGCAGCATCAGTGGATGGACATTACAGAGGTGTCAGATGCAGTTTGGTTGCCTGGATGTAACAAAAGCTTTTTAGTTTCAATTTACTGATGGGGAAAATGGAAGCAGAGGAATTTCCAGGGCGGCAGCGAGCCAGAGCTGGGCACAGAGAGCAGCTGCCCTGAACTTGTGTCCTTCAGGCCACAAGGCAAATGCTTCCTGACAGCCAACAAACAATGGGGACAGGGGAGAGAAGGGACAGAAAGGAATGATTTTATTTCCAGAATCCCTCCTTGTCCACAGAAACACGGACCCTGACAAAGCTGCCATCAATGCAGGCATTCCCCACAGCAGCTGCGTCCTGCAGGAGCCATGTGCTGGGAGCAGTAAGGGATCCCCAAAGTTAAGGAGGACACAAATCCCAGGACAGTAAGGCCACCTTTCCTTGAGAGATGAGGACACCCTGCAGCAGTGTGCCAGGATGGTCTAAGGAGAGAAGCAAGAGTGGCATGCTGGTGCTGGGACACTCCCTTTGCTGCCAGCCCAAGGAATTGTGTAAATGGGAGGAGGATGCATTGATTGCTGCATGGGACCCCTGGCAGCCTCTCAAACTGAGAAGCAAAGAGGAAAAAAACAATGGACACGCTTTTATTTCCTTATGTTCTACCAGGCGAGCTGGTGACTTACAACTGACTTACTCGTTGTGCAACTCCAGGGCTCCCCAGCCCACCTCCCTCCCTCCTCCTGCACTCACTGCAGAGTTGGTGGCCAGGCCACCTCCTCAGGGACACTCTGAGAGGCAGATGGGACTCGTGACTCCTGGTCACACAGGAATTCTGTCAAGCAGCTCGCCCAGCCCCTGATCTCATCTGATCCAAGTGTACCTGTACCTCCCAGTTCTTCCACAGTGACCTGTACCTCCATCTCTGGGGATATCTAATCACACAGGAAACTGGCTGGACTGAAATGCAACATACTCCTCCAGCTTCTGCAACAACCACAGGGAAGAGCAGAGCTGTCTTTGCAGCAACTCCCCAGTGCAGAGGGAAACAACCAGAAACAGTCATTCCTCCTGGCAGAGAGGAGGTGGTGACTGGGAGGTGGGGAGGGAAGAGAGCTCAAACAATCTGCCAGCAGCACAAACTTTGTTCCCACTCCAATTCTGGCTCAGAGGGGAAGCAGCCAGCAGAAAAACCCAAACCAAAACAAACCCTTAAGAAACAAGGAAGCTGTTCCCATGTTTGTTGTGACTTCTGAAACAGCATCTCCCGTCCCCCAGAATGCTGAGATGAAAGCAGGAAACACGAGATGCTTTTTGACCAGACTTTTGCAAAGGATTCTATGCAAAGTCTCCCACTCGACAGCTTGTAAGATCCTGCAGATTCCATGGAAGGAGGCTCAATGGGGAAGAACAAATTGGCACAAAAAATGCACACACTGGACAAAACCCTTTCAAGTCAAAAGTCCCAAACAACAAAAGCTCCGTTTTATTAATCTGCTGCCAATTATGAGTGTCACGTGCACTGTGTGAGGCTTCAGACTGTCACCACAGGAGTTAAAAAAGACGAAAAAAAGCAAAACCAAGCAAGGCCCTGAGCTGTGTGTGCAGAGCCGGCTCTGCCTGGCTGGAGCTGTCTGGGCTCCAGCAGCAGTGAGGAAAAGCCGGCAGAGGGCAGGGAAATGCCACAGGAATTCACAGACAAGGCAGGGAAGATGCAATAAACCATATTTCCTTCCTTTCCTGACACTATTTGCAGCTCAGAGCATAACTATTGCAGCACAGTTAAACCACAACACTCCTGACTCACTGGACTCTGCCTGGGACCCTCCTGCACCAGCTCCTTGTGGGAGCAATCCAAGCCCACAGCATTCCTGGGACAGCACGTGGGCCGTGGCCCATGCCAGGACTGGGGTTTCCCCAGGATGAGCTCAGCCTCCTGCTTTTCAGCAGCCAGGATCTTATTCCAAACATGTCCCTCGCTCTTCCCACTCCCAGCCACTACAGTGGGGTAAGAACACATTCCTGAGCCCTGAGCTTCACAATCCCTCGAGGAGGACAGGAGATGCCAGGCTACACACATTTCACTCGTGGTCATTGGCGTTCCTCTCACCCACTGATCTGGCAAAGGCTGGACTTGATCACTTGGGATGGGATGGGATGGGATGGGATGGGATGGGATGGGATGGGACAGCCACCACTCACCCCACTGCACAGCTGCTGCAGAGCTCAAGCCCAGCAAACCCCAGGCACATCCTGAATGCAAAGCTGATACAAAGTCTGACATCACCTCACAGAAGGGTTTTAAAATATCCAGAGAGAATTGAATCCATTAGAATACTTCCTCACAAACCTCGTTCTTACTGGCATTCTCTGCGCTTGAGATTAGCCCGTAAAATAGAGGCAGAATCTCTTCAGCTGTCAGTGCAGCCTGTGCATTGCTGACACGCACAAAGGAGAACTCATTTCTCATTTCTCCTCACTTCAGGTGTAGTTTCAAAGCTGAGCTTAGCCTACCTCATGGTGCTTCAGGAATGCAGCACATCCATCCTCTCTGAGAGGGAGAGGAGTAACACACCGACAGGGCAGGGCCCAGAAGGTCAGAACCACTGAGTATGGAAACAGGGAGCTGTACAGGTGTCCTCCTGCTCAATATTCCCTGGCCAAGGTGCCCTGTTTCCCCACGTGGAGTTTACTGCAGGTGACGCTGAGAAGCACTGACTGAAATACCCAGGTTAAACATGGAAGAATTGATATTTATCTGTATGAAGTGAGACCACGTTCTCAACAGCAGCAAAACAAGTTCCCACACGCAGGTTTGGTGTCAACACAGGGCCCGGAGAGGTGCCCACGGCCCAGGAAGTCAGCCAGGCCCTTTGATGTGGCTCTGCACGAGAAGCAACAAGCTCAGATCCTCAGCAGAGCCAATTAGGCCAACAAAGGACCCGTTTAATTTAGCAAGGCTGCTTCCAGAGCTCCTGTTCACCTGAAAGAACATACACAGCCTGGGATGTTTGGGGCCAGGGTGCACTGAACAGAAGCAGAACTGGCTGAGAGTTTCCTGTAAATTCCATAGGAGCCTGAAGCAAGACAGGACAATGAGCTCAATGCCACTGTGAAGTTTCTCAACTTCCTTCAGCATCTCCAAGCTCAGCACTGGGCGCCCAGAAAGCAGAGAAAGGATGCACTCACCTGCTTTCACTGTCCAGGAACACAGAACTGCTGCTCTTCCCCAGGGCTTCGCTGATGGGAGAGAGGCAGAAGGGGGAAGAGAAGGCATCAGAATCAGAGTCAAAAGTGCTGTCCCTGCTCACATCGTCAGCAGACAGCTCCAAGGAGCCCTCGTCCTCCCTGCAGTCCAGGCCCTCCTCCGTGCCCTCCGACCTGTTCTGCTCCTCCTGGGAGCTGACTGTGGAGAGGGTCCCCGAGTCGCTGCGCGGGGGCTGCGGGGACCGGCGGCTGCACGGCCTCTCCCCTTCTGAGGAGGGGGCCCCGTCCCTCACTGGCTGTGCCACCGTCAGGACCTCGTCCCCCCGGAGGCTCAGCGCCCCTCTGTGCTCCGGGGGGGACGCGGGCCGGGCCATGCCGAAGCCCTGGGCGTGGCGGCCGCGCTTTCGGGGCGCTTTGCGCACCGGGGAGCTCTCGGGGGTGATGTAGCGCAGGGCTTCCTCATCCTGCCGCTGGATGCGCGAGTTGGGCACCCAGGCCAGGATCAGAGTGGTTCCCAGGAGCTCGTCCTTCTCCATGTACAAGCACAAATAGCCTGAGAGAGAGCACAGGAGCACCAGGTGAGACACGGAGTCCTTCTAAGGGAGCTGCATAACCCTGAAATTCCCCTTTCCCCCTTTCTCCAACCCTGGAAATGTTCAAGGCCAAGTTGGAAGGGGCTCTGAGCAACCTGGTTGCCCATGGCAGGGAGGATCTTTAGTGTCCTCCCTTTACCTTTTCAGGAGATGATCTTTAAGGTTCCTCCTAACCCAAACCATCCTGTGATTCCTGCCACTTCCCTACCACTACACATGGGCAAAACCCTTTTATTAACCAGGACACAATTCTGTCAAAGGAATTGTGGAGTGCTCAGCATTATTCAGTACTTGCAAATCATTTCAAGTCTGCTTGTGGCTTTTGAACAGTGTGAATTCCCTCTGGCCTAACTGAACAGGGAGATGACATGCAAATACTTGGACTTCCTGGACAGATTTACTAATCAAAAGTAAGTTATAAAATATGTTCCCACATGAAAAAGTTCTACTGTTTCTTAGTTAAACAATTTCAAGTGCCAGCTGAACATTGATTTCTCAAGAATATTTACCTTGGTGCAGTTAAAGGGCTGCCTTTATGGGAAGCCAATGGAAAAAGAAGTCACCCACACCAAAAGGAAAGTAAGGGTCAGTGCTCACAGAATAATTCGTTTTGTGAAGCTAAGCCAAGAGCCACAGGTCTTTGATGAGAAGATGAAAGAGCACAGGAACAGATGAGAATAAAAGGATAGAGCAGGATTTATCCTCATTTACTCTAGTGCATGCAGCCACAATCAGGCTTTTTGGATTTTCCCTTTACCAGTGGCGGCTGAGGCCACTCCAGCAATAACAGTTCCAAGAGGATACTTGGATTTCCTGAACAATTCATGGATGTGAACAAGCAGCAGAAGTTACTGTCCTCACATGACAACTTCTGACTACACAAAAGGACTTACTAAACCAGGTAAATCCATGCTGGAGCAGAAGAGAAAGGAGCAACATCACTAAGCTTCCTACTAAAAGAAGAGCTGATGGATCAGCTGGTGGATTGCTTTCCTTAAGTCTTTCACAAAACTGCCTTGCCCTGTCCCCCACTCTTCATTTCTTAGAGCCCAAGGAGTAGAAGTTGATGGAGGCAACAGCCAGGAGAGAGAAAAAGAGAGAACGGGCAGTGTCTGCAGCAGCCCATCACCTGGATGGTGCTCCCCGATGCCCTGCAGCAGCTCAGGGGGGTGGACACAGACATTGTTCTTGGAGTAGATGATCTCCCCTTCGAGCACGGAGGAGGAGCCGCCGGGAGTCAGGGTCAGGAGGTCGGACGCTTTCGAAGAGGCTCGACGGAGGAGTCGCCCCAGAGACATCGCCAGGGAAATGTTTCCATCATCTGTCAGCTCTCGTCAGGAGCCAAACTCAGAAGATCTGCCAAGAAGGAGGAAAAAATAGTGTGAGAACCAAAATAACCACAGCACAGCACGTGCCACCCACTGTCTGAGGACAAGCCTCCCATCAATCCACACCTCAAGCAGGAGCCCACAAATCCTGTGGATGTCTAACATCACCTTCGTGCTTCAAAGGTGCTCAAGCACAGAATCCCAGGACATTTTCTCTGCAATGAAGAAACACGAAGGCAGCAAAACCCCACATGTTAACAATTGCTGTGGGGAGGAGGCAGAACAGCAATGCTGGGCACTTCAATCCCCCACTGTGGGAACAGCTCAGAGTGTGGGCCTGCCCCATGTGTCACTGACACGGGGATGTCACAGAGCCACAGCTGACCCCAGAGCTTCCTTCAGCACAGAAACGGCTGAGACCACAGCACTGCACATGGGGCTGCTGCTCCAGCCACAGCATCTCCAAAAACAACATCAATCAAACCCACTTCATCTTGTGCTTGCCATTTCTGTGTGTTTGAGGTTTTGGGGGTTGGGATTTGTTTTTGAGAGGTTGGTTTTGGGTTTGGTTTGGGTTTTTCTGAGCAGTGATGGTTAAACAGAGCCTTGCCAGAGATAAGGTTTGAAAGCCCCATGTTCACCAGGGAGGGCAGAGCGTGGACACAGAGCGTGGCACACCAACCCAAGACAAACATTTCACCCATCCAGAGTTTCTGTGGAGCACAGTCCCCAGCTCTGTGCTCAAATGAGACGTACTGCTTGCTGGGGCTGATGATGAGGAGCTCTGCAGTGGACCCAGAAGGTCCCACATATAAAACATTCAGCAGATGGACCAGGACGTGTTGGAAGAGCAGGAGGGTCTCACACAAAGCAAGCCCAGTGCAGAGCAGGCTCCCTGCAGCCATCCCCAGCTGGGAAGCGTCAGAACCACGGCAGTTTCTGTTCTGCCAAAACCACAGGAGAAGAGGGAGCTCCTACTTTTGTTCTTTTGTGTTTGCATGGCCCAGCCTGCTGTGAACAGGCCAGTGTGACCCAGCACACCCCACACACAGCCAGGCTCCCAGGCCTGGGGCATTCCTGGGGACCAGCCCCACGCTGGGCTGCAGGGCACGGCCACAAGAGCCAGAGAGGAAAATAAAGGAGACAGGCCCAGCCCTGGGGCATCTTCTGAGGAAATACTTAAGGGCTTAAACAAGCACTGTCTGATGTTGGACAGCTCTGATTTTCTTAATCTGGTTTTGATGGCAAATCCAGCCAGCCCAGGAGGGCAGAAGGCAGAAATGGCAAAGGGGCATTTCCCAAAGGGCAGAGTGAGGGCTGCAGGGAAGGAAAAGAGCTGTCCTGCCTCTGACAGATTGGTACATGCAGAGGACTGCAAATGAGACTGCCAAGCTGTTGACAGAGCCTTCACTAAAGGACAAACCATTGGTTTAGCTGGCAATGGCCACATTTGTCAGCTCGAATCACAGCAGGGGCGGTTTCTGCATTTCAGCCTTCGCTGGGACTTGGTGGAGAAACATCAAGCCTGCTCTGTACCAGCAAGTGTTTGGGATAAGAGAATCACTTTGCCAGTCCTGCACACTCCTGTCTCCTCCTAGCACCAGACTCGTGTCTCCCCATGTCTCAGCCCCCAAAACCAAACACTGTCCAGCCCTAAGCTCACTCTTGTCCACATTGCCAAAATCCACAGTTTCGGGCTCTGGGTTACACCTGGCAGAAAGTCATTTGCCTCAATCACATTTAAGGAGAAAATCACCTTTCCTCTCATTGCACCCTGCAAGAACAGACAGTAAATTGTGGTGCAACTTCTCCTTCCCCACCCTGAGTTGCAACACACAGTTTCCAAACAGGGCCAGGGGAGTCAGGGACAATGATGTAGACCTGGGCCTCCAGCACACCTGGGCAGGGCCACCTGTCAGCACAGCTCTGGCTACTGCAGCACAGACCTTCATCCATGCCAGCAACTTCCTCAGAACCCCAAAAATCAGCAGATGCCCAGGAGGAAGGAGGCAGCAGCTGGCTGCTGCTGCTGGCCAGGGAGTGCTTCCTCAGGAAACACAGGGACAGGGGCTGGAGAGGCACATGAGAAACACGAGGTCGTGTGATGTCCTGCTGCAGCTCTCTGGGTGCTCCAGGGAAGGCAGGGGGGGGTCAGGACACAAAGGCACAACTTAATGAGCTTTCACCAGGCACAGAAAGAACAAAGCCTCAGGTAAAGATCAAATGCTGCTCCCTGGAAAGCCAGAGGAATTTAAAGGGAAATCTTGCTTTGATCCTGCAGAACACCTGTTGTTCAGTACTGCCTGCATGTGCAGGTGGATGGTGCTGCAGGTACACATAGGCTTGGGAAGAGGAACCCAAGAAAAGACAAAAGGTTTGGAATACGGAGTCCTGCCAGCTGAGAAATTCAGTCTGTTGGACTTGCCTTGCAGAATCAGAAACCAGAGACCACTGCAGTGCTGCAGACAGTAGCCAGACACACTGGGATATATAAATATCACCAGGAAACTCAATCCTTTCACTGTTCTCACAGGCCAGCTTTGGTTGCAGGATTAATGAAAAACAGATGCAAGTCACAGGACAGTTTCAGGGAGGGTGACAAGAGTTATCTGGGCCAGGGAAAGAGATAGCCAAGGGAAGATAAAAGTGAGGGAAATGTACTAAAAGTCTTCACACATGGGAACTGTCACTGCCAAAGAAAGGAAGAGCTGTCGATGAAGGACGGGAGAAGTTGTAAGGCAGTTGAACTGTGGCAGGGAATATCTAGTTCTGTCATTCCAGCAGCTGGGACAATGGTGCTCCAGAACAGGGAACCCCAAGGGGCCATTTACATCACTGGGGTTTCAAAGGCCTCAGAAATAAATACCCAGTCAGTCCCAGTGGGGACCAGGTGCTGGGCTGGACCTCTGAAGGTCATCTGTAGTGGTACAACCCCAAAAGTCCCTGAAACTCCGCTTGGGAAAGTGCTCCTCCTTCCTAAAAGAGAGGAGCTCATACAACACAAAGCAGCAAATAACAGAGACCACATCTGCAGGGTTTGCTCTATTCTCAGCCCTTTTCCATGTGGGACAACATCTGCACGCACAGTCCGTGGGGCCTGGGTTGTGGGGAGAGGCAGGAACTGCTGCTGCTTCTTGTGTGTGCTTGGGAAAGCAGCAGGAACCGTCCCACAGCTCAGGCAGCAGTAAATCAGCACCATTCAAAAAACCCCATTTTTCATATTAATTTCGTATTTATCTGCTGATCTGAAGGGATTCTTCTCAGTGTGGCAGAGCCAGCTCAGCTCTCCAGAAGCTGAAGCACTGCGTTAGCTGATAAGCTCTTGCTGAGTGCCAATATTTATTAAGCACACACACATTTTCTTCTCCCACACATCAACTGTTGCCACTAAAAATCTTCACTCCAGCTCCTGTGTCTGTTCACACAGCCCTGGCTGCTCTCCCAGTCGGTGCCAGCACTTCTCAGCTTCATGAGTGAGAAAGTGCTGGGGAGCCAATTCTGAAATCGCCCGCGGAGCCTCTTCCCCAGAGCCTGTCCAGTTCCAGCCAGCAGCGTCCAGAGCGGCTCCCAGAGCTGCCCTTCCCTCCTCAGGAACCCATCCACAGGATCCTGTTTGCCTTGGCAATCACACCTCGCTTGGCACCTGCTGCTGGAGCAAATGCTGCTGGGGATTCCTGTATCCCGCTCCTGGCACAGCCAGCCCATCTCCGGCTGTGCTGGCACCGGGGGCACCCGCAGCCCCCGGCTCCTCTCCCTGGGGAGCCCAGCCTGGAGCACAGCCCAGCTGCAGCCCCCAGCTCCCCCTGCCCAGGGCTCATCCGCTGGGCGAGACTTCCAGAGCTTTACAGGCCACAGAAGCCGCGCTGCGGGGATCTGGAAGTGAAATGTGAGACCTGCAGCGTGTCTGGGCACGGCCGAGAAACACGAGCTGTCAAACAGCAGCACCACGTTTGAGTATGAAACGTCTTCGGCAGGAAAAACGCGACAGGCTCCTTTTCGTTCTTGCCCTTAATAACTTGAATTTAATTTTACATATTCAAGGAGTGCACAGTCTCTGTGGCAGTGGGGCTCAGACACAAATTCCTGCCTCCTTCCCCTCCTGGGAACAGCAAATGCTGGGTCTGGAACTCTCAAGCACAGAGCGAGCGGAGCACGGCAGCCTGGAGTCAGGACTCAGCTGCCCCCCAGTCCTCCGAGGGGATCTGCTGTGCCACTCTCAGCTGCTCACTCACTTCATCTCTACTCCTCCACAAGCACACGAGAGCCCTTGTACAGCCTTCCCTTTGTATTACGATACCTCGACTTTGGGACTGAAAAGAGAAAAGCTTTCCAAACTCCTCGCCATGCCGGAGCCGGTTCAGAGGATCCAGCCAAATCAAGGAAAAGCATTTGCCATGGGGAGCCACTCTGAAGTCATCCCATCTCATGGGGAGGATTATGTAGGTCACCAAAAGTCTTTCATTGCTGCTCTGCTGGAGCAGCAGCGGCTCACGGAGCAAAGGGAAGGGAACAGCCAAAATCTCCCCAACTCCAAATGCAGTCACTAGAGCGGGACAGATTTCACCCAGATGAATCTCGGCTGAGCAGGTAAAAAAGGGGCAGCAGCCTGAATCCTGCAAGGCTGTGACTCAAGAGATGAAAAAAGGGAAAGGGACTGCTATGTCAGGCTGGCTGCTCCCAGCCACGCCTGCTCAAGCATTAGAAAGCAAACAAAAAGCAAACAAAAAGCAAACAAAACTCACCCATCCCCAGCACCAAGCTGTGTGTGCCACATGTCCCTCCATCCCTGGTTCACCAGCTTTTCATGTCACTTATCTGCACTGCTCGGGCCACAGGAAACGCTTTAATGACTTTAATGACTTCTTATTTCCAACATCCTGTTGCTGTGTCCTGATAACACTCTCAGGACTCAGAAAGCAGCAGCTCAGAGCCCAGGAGTCTGGGTCACAGCTCAGGGGATGAGCTGACTGCAGACTCTGTTTTGAGTATGACAAACATCAGACCACGCATCACCTCTGCCACTCGGACACCCCGGACTCCCATCTCTCCTCCTATTCCGAGCAGCAACTAAGAACAAAACACCTCTGCAAGTCGAGCTCCCAGCCCGAGGTCGGAGAAGGCAGATGTCCCAAAGGAAGCAGCCACGTTGTTTTACAGTGTCAGCAGCACGGAGAGCAAAGCAGCACCCCAAAACCCCTGCCTGCAGCATCCCGAGACCGCTCATCAGAGCACCTCCAGCCATCCCCCATCCAC